GTCCAGCGGTTAAATTCATCAACTTATCACCCCGCAGGGTTTCATCGAATCCCACCACCAGCACCTCCGCCTCACTGTTTGCCTTATCTGTGTATCGTGTGTGGCCACTTTCCTCTTGAAAATTGTATCATTATATATATATATATATATATATATATATATATAAACAAAGTAAATAGAAAAAAGCGATCACCATATGACGGAAAACTTATTCATCGGTGGCTTTCAAATTTTCTTTTTTGCAAGAACACAATTGGGAGGACTATCCCTCGCCCTTTTCATGAATCCACTTAACAAACTACCAACGTACGTGGCCTGGAACCTGATACAATGACTGACACACACGGTTTAAAGTCCCTTCAAGTTAGTGAATTTGAGATACCCGGCGTAATTAACTTTAAAAAGCTTCGATTAGGCTGAACTGTTTTCACCTAATCTTTCGTTTTGGTTTTCACACGTTTTGGCTAATTACAAACCAACCATCGCTATCATGAATGTGGTTTCCTTTTTTCGCCTACAGCACAACAGAGTACTTAAGTAAAAGGGGAATAACATCTTGCTTGCTTTGCATTTAAAGCTTTTTATAATTGAGGGATCGTGATGGAGACACCCGGGAAAAGACGATCCTTCCGGGGCCAAGAAGCTGACAATTTGCGTAATAACTCCGATTAGCGTAGCGATAATTACCGAACTCCGCTGTTCCCATAACCACAATGTTTCTGTACCCATAAGCTCTTTTTTCAATCATCAAATGTCTGATAAAAATAATGCACGTCTGGGTTTGCAAAACAACAACACTGGCCAGTGCGCATTGTCAAAAGCGGAGTGAAATATTCACGAAAAGAAGATCAATTTTTTCATGCACGTCGCTCGTAACCGCTGATGTTCTCGCTCCCCCCATCCCCACGCTGGAGAGTCTGCTCATTTATAATGTTCCGAATCGAGGAAACAAGAGGTTCTTGTGGCCAGTGGTATCATCCGATATCATGAAGGAATTTGTTTTACAGCTTATCAACTTTATATTCCAATTTTTAATAATGTTTATTTACAAAGGTAATGCTTATTGAGTCCCATTAGATTTGTATACACTGGTTTCAGATGGTAGTATAATTGAGTAGCAAATTATAACGTTCACTCACGGGCGCTGAACAGTTAGGTATATCAGTGCTTCATTGAGCCACGATTTGAACGAATCTATTGTTGAAGCAAAAACAATTTGAGGTAGAAGAGAGTTCCAGCTATTACGCAATCTGTAACTGAAACAGTGACACATGCAGTCTAGCCGACTCTGTCCCCTGAGCTGATCTTGAATAGCGTTAGTAGAGTATCCCACGGATGGTTAGGTTGATGCAGTATTTAAGATATGAGGATCATGTCTTCCCGAATTCAGCGGTATTGGAATGAATGAAGTCCCAGGATTGTGACACTTGGACCATTTTCTGTGCTATTCTCTGCTTGTTTCCCACGAATTGGCCATGGATTACAAACCTGAAAAGCATACTCGGAGTGTAATCTGATGTATTCTGATAGCAAACGGGGCAATAGGTCTGCTTCGAACAATCCAAAAACTTTTTAGTAATCCAAATTGCCTTAGGGGCCTTTGATGATGCTCTAACGCAATGTGTTGCTCATCCTAGAACCTCCTGAACAATAGCTCCCAAATCCTCGTTTGGAGCACACATTAATTCCTGATTTTCAGGTGCATATGGAAGGTAACCCCTATGACGCAGTGATACAACCCTACATTTCTCAACGTTTATTTCGATGTCACTTGCGATAGACCATCGGTAAGCTGCGTCGAGTGTTTCCTGTAGTCTTTTGTAATTTTCAGGATGTCGTACTGTTCTTCATATTTTGGCGTCGTAAGCGAACAGTAGTGCTGGTTCCCCAAGGGTATCTGGTAGATCGTTCATGAACGCTAAGAAAAGGTCGGGAGCAAGTATAGATCCTTTGGGCCCTCTACGAACAGCGTCGACTGGTTCCGAGTTGCGAACGATTAGCTCGAACTGATAAGGCACGTTGTCGAAGGAATTCCTCAATCCAGCCTAGGCGCAGTTCTCGAACATAACAGTGTATGGTGGTTACTCTGTCAAAAGCTTTAGATCAAAATAAAGAACGTGATTCTCGTGCTGCGCTGCGGGAAAATACGACTAATTCGATCAAGCATTGTATACAACTAGGTTTTAATAATTTTATTTGTTTGTCTCCTGATAACTTTCAGGAGACCTCGAAATTATAGTTATCAACTGGTCGCTGATTAAATACAAAAAGAATTAGCCAACTAATTGGAAAAGTAGGTCATATGAAGAACCTTCATCGCTGGAGATCATGTATACTTTTCTTCGTATACTTCCTGTTTGAAGTGCTTGGTCCGAAGCAAAACTCCACTGAGCCAACCTAATTAATCCGAACTGTACTGTCAAGTAGGAGTGCGTAAAACTTCGTCACATGCACCCTTTTGATTAACCATTTTTCATCGTCAGTACGTTTGTGCATATGAGAACAGCTTTATTGACATTCACCGGAAAAATGCCGTTGATAAGAAATTGAACTTAGGTTACATCGAAATTTAAGCCACTCAAATTTCATTCTGCATTCATAATCATTACTTCCACCGTTTTACGGAATTGTTTCTATTTCCAGGTGCGTCGCCAAATACCACTATGTTTTTTTTGTGATAGTCACGTATTCACGTGTTTATACTCCTCGAATGGAAACAGACACGTTGAATACGGATGAAGTACGCCTGACGAGCGCACAGTGTGTTATGGAAGCCATTCAAATGGACCGACCGGTAAGTCAGACGCATTGTTCTGTTTACAGGTCAACACTCAACAGCTGATTCTTTTAGATTCGCGGTCGTCGATGGAATTCAACGCAGGTCACATTCTTAAGGCTATCAATGTGGGGGGTGATAGCGCTTTTAGGAACAAATTCATACAGAATCGCGTAAGTTTCCCTTCGTAGCTGATTTTATGATCTGGACGGGCTAGGTCCCCATGGACAGATTGTTGCTGAAGTTGCTCGGTTCCCAAGACCTTTCTAGCTGGCAATCTGTACCAATCGTGGTGTATGATCACAATTTGGAGGATATCAACGATTTGAATCCGGAGGATTTTCTGTATAGATTGCTGTGTGATCTTTTGCGTTCCTTCGTGCCGATATATGTGCTAAAAGGTGAGACTTGGTTGACTCTGGTTACATGGTTAGACGATATGAATCAATAGTTTTGTGTCAAATTCGATCATGAAAACTTTCATGTGATTGCTCTTGGGGTCATTTTCTTTGTTATCGTTTTTTCCTGTTAACCAGTTCAGGATTTCACTTGAGCTGTTGTTTCCATCCAGTTAGATTAGTCAAGTGTTCGGTTGTTCACTACCACAAAACTAAGCCAAACTTTTAGACGCTTTTATCTGACAGCGAAACGTTTGCATGCTTATTAAAAGCACGGTAGCGGTGGTCAAGTGGTTGCAGTTATCGAAATAGCGACATGGAGGTCCTGAACTGAAACCGCGCTGCCGCCACCCATCTCCATTTCTGTGTTTCTCCAGTCAGTCTTCGTATTACCGCAATCCTCTTCCTGAAAGTTGATTATACAGTTGTTTGCTCAATAAACAAAAAGGAAGTCGAAAGCAAAACGAAAAATATTTTTTTAAAGCGCGATTGTCTACTGAGCCACAAAATAGCTTAGCATGTCCGGAAATTCGCGTGCTTGTGCGAGCGATTAAACCATACTTTGGATATCCATCACTAAGATTTACTAATTCATCTTTGATAAATTCTCACTTCTTTCACTTGGTACGTTCATCTTTGTCCTGTGTTGTTTTGGTTTAGCCGGATTATATGGCGTTCTCTTTGTCTTCGTACGCCAATCATATGAGTCATTGTTGTATTGCGATTGCTGTTCAGTTTACATATCCGTCTCCAGTTGTGCATAAACAATAGACAATAAAGTGCAAGAGAAAGTCGAGATGAGTGCATTCCTGTCTAAGCTAGTTCTCTTTACTCGGTCTACTCTCTTCTGTTCTCTGCGATGCACATGAATAGACGCTAATAACATACTTTAGCAATTATGTGTAGCTTGTTTTGACCTACGTTCGTCGATTTCGAATTCAAACCTGAGTTGTGTCATCAGTCTACCTTCATTTCTTCTAATGTTTATTAGAAATGACGCAGATTTTTACGATTATGCTTTATAATGGGCTTATATGGGCGAAAAGCCGTTTGAAAATATAATCAGAGTCAATAGCACGCCGTTTATTCTGTTATTCTCTTACAGAATACTCCTCCGCGTACTGAAGTATATACCACAAGTTGAAAAGCGTATGTTTAAAGATTGTCAATAATTTTAAGTGTAAGTGGAATAGGACAGACGAAAAATGTGGTTGACACATCTCGTGTTTCCGTACGGTTAAACTAGCCCTGTCTACACAACCCCTTCACGTAAATACTACGCTTATGATTTTATAATGTGTCATTAAATAGGCAACTAGTTTGAACTCTCCTCCAATCCCTATAATTCTCATCTCTAACGTCTGTCCTCAAATGTGTGGAACAAAGGTAGATCAACTAGTTCATTAGTCGACCTATGCGATTTCGTCCTCTGTAATCCTATCAGTGCTACGCAGAGCTCTGACTCAGAAGCTCCCTGTACACGGAACACAGAAAGGTTATGTTTGCATCAAAAACCAATGCGTTGCACGCGGTTGGTATATTTAATGCTAACCACCAAGAGATCATACATTGGCAAAACGGAAAACGACTGTTCTGTTTACCGAATGTGACGTTCTCTGTACTGCAAATTGCAGGTGATACAGAGCTCTAACTAGCAGCAATTGGTCACTCCTTCGGTTCATTTTAGAGATTTACAACCAGAGTCTTCGGCCAACCAAGACTTTATCAGCAATGCTACAGGGTGATATGAAAACTGCAGTGTGTCGAAACCTGGGGTCCCATCAGTCGGAACTTACGTCGTTGAGAAGCGGTTCACACGTGCGTGGTGACAAAATTTCCTGTCACCCAAACGAGCCGGTAACCTTTGTGACCACACTATCCCAAAGCCAGCTCGAATACCTCTTTTGAGCTATTAAAAATCCTCTAGATGAGATAGCCACGTGCTGCTTATCAATCCAAATATTGACCCATCATTCTCTCACTTCAATGAAAACACTGGTCACGGTAAGGTAATCTGTACAGCATTCCCAGCAAACGCGTTAAAAAATAGGGAGCGTTCATTTGGGTGAAAATGATGCCTCGCTCACTTCTTGGAGTAATTTGTTGGCTTAAAGTTTTGGTCTTTGATTTGATCCTTTCAGCGTTTCAACGTTTTTTGAGAATCAAGCAGTGAGAAAGTTGAGCTTCTAGATCATCTAACTAAGACAAACTGTAAACCATAGGTTGATGTTATTCAGTTTGTTAATGTAATCCCTTTTTATTCTTAGTATTTCTCACCGTATTTTGATCAACTTGTCTGCATTCATGAGTTGATCCTTTTTGGATATGAAAATGCGAGACTACGACAAGGAATTTCTAAATTTTGACTGTGCGCTGATTATCATGGGGTCTTATCTAACTCCCGGCTTTCTCTTATCTGCACGTGCAACAGCATGAATGGGCTTGGCTGGTACTCACAGCATGAAGCCGCGTAACCCTTGGAGCAACCAAATACCCACATTTATTTACTACGATTGAAACTGTCAATTCATGACTCAGCTCGTCACTTGAGACGAGGCCTAATTTTTTTCAAGCATCTATCACCTGCTGGCTTCACCAATGACTCATGAATTGGCCTACGTATAAATGGCAAAGAGCAGCGCGTCTGGGTTTGTGTGATGCTGCACTTTCATTTGAGGTTAACTTGGTGAATAATGCCACTAAATTCAATTCAGATCCGATTTACGTTGTCCGATGAGAACCATTGAACAGACGCTTCTTATTTTGTTGAAGAGTATCAGCAGTCCACACACGCACTACTGTGTACACTGACCACACCGAATCAGAGCAACTTCAAGCCGGACGCATGAGGTTTTATCTCCGGAACGCCGATCGACAAACTTAATATTTTTCTCGTGAGCCAATCGAATCCATTTCGACTTTCCAATGTGATATCCATTAGTTCTATGCTTTATTCCAAACTGATGAATGTATCACGCAATGGATTTCGTCGTATATAGAGCAAATGAAGCGTGCACTGAAAAGGTAGGAAGTAACCTGAAAATCGGTCTGGTCGGCTGCTCGGTGATCAAACAGGAAAAATGCTGAGGTCCCGTCACCGATCCCCAGTTGGGTCGATGGGTTCACACTGCTGAGGAGACCTAATTAAGTCGAAACAGCTGTACAGTGTTCCCTAGCTTTTGAGTTCACGCCTCAGCCGCTCTATACACGTCGTAATCCACTTTATAAGCGTATCAAATCCTTCAGCACTCTCTCATCTTTGAGGGATATAGTTAACACACGTTATTGTCACGTTTGCGCTGTTTACCCATTCAATTTGCCACAGATACCAGACACTACTTATACTTATAGTTATGGGTTTCACTCCTTTTACATACTTTTAATTCGTGATAGAAATCTGGGTACTGGACAGCCACTTTGTCCTACTTAGGGCTCGTCACCATTGTTTACTTTTGGGGTCTCAGTCGGGGTCAAAACACATACTTTCGGATTGGGAATCGGTGCCCTTATACCTGAGCTACACGGTCAGTCTTGATTCCCAGCTCGAATGTTCGTGGCTCGACCCCTGGAAGAGATGCAAAAACTATACATCTCTACCACTAATTTCTGTCTGTTCGTCAGTAGGTAAGCTAAATACGGGGTATTTCATTTCTTATAAATAGTAATACGGATGGCAGTATACCTGCAAAGTATTCCTAACAGCAGAGAGTAGGAAGACAGATCGGAATGCAGTGAGGGTGTTATCCAGAAGTATACCTCAAACCAACTTAGCACAAGATTCAATGTGTTTTTCAATAAACTAGTCTCTTAATTGAAATGAGGGATTGATGCTCATAAAACGCAGTAGAATTCTAAAATGTTGTTTCGGGAAATTCCGAGAATAACACAGGAGAAAATAATGCGTGCTTAGATGAACACAATGCACACGTCACTTTTTTCTTTTTCATTTTTACTTTTTATTGAATACACAATAATACAGTTTTCAGGAAAGGAGATGTAACCAATCAAAGGGTTGCCATACGATACATAATGGAGAAAGTCAGGTGGTGGTGGTAGTGGTGGGATTTGAACACGTCCTCCGGGGTGATAATTTAGTGACCTTTACCACCGGGCCACTACCGTCCCGTCACAATAGCGGATTGGAAGATTCGGAATTGTCTAAGATTACGAATGTAAAATAAGATTTTTCATAGTTTGTCAACTCGAAATTAAATTTGCGAAGTCCATTGGAGGTTGGTATTGAACGGTGATTCCCAAGTATTTAAAGGAATAGAGGGGACATGAACTTTACCGTTCGGTGTATGCATGACTTATAGGAGTTCACTTTAATGTGGAAAGCCTTCTCAATCATTTTTAACGCTATAAAAATGAGGGCCATAGAACGAAAGAGTTTTCTAATGATCATTAACTTGACTGTCTTTTTGATGAGAACAATAGTGACATCCCCCCCCTAAGTTTAAAACTTCACCGCAACCTAGGAATCGGTTTACATTAGATTTGATCACCTCAGTGAAAAGACCAGGTCCATATTTGAGGAGTGCAGGAGTACGACCACTTGGGTTTGGAACGGAGGATGCATTGGGGTCGCGTAGTATTCCAAACATATCTTCATAATTGGACGGCATTAGATAGTACATTTGTTTATCTATTTTCTACTGATGGAAAGTGCCATTTTATTCGACAATGTCCACTCTAAGCATTGAAACCGTGCTGTATCGCATCTCATTATGAATTGGGTTATGCGCGATTCCTCTGTTTTGTGCTTCAAGCTATCCACATGTATGACATGCTTGAATGGAAATGTTAAACTCGCATCAACATTTTGGTCTAATAGGTATTATGGCAACGATCGGCGAATGTGTACGTCATCTCTCATTTTGATACAGAATTTTGTTAAAGCTTGTTTGAGGCCATATATATTTACCGATGTCTGACTGTTGAATTGCTGATGATATTTGAAACCGATAGGTTTCTATGTGTGATTTCGGGATTAAACGCTTTAC